CCAATGGTTTATGGTCGGTTTCCAACCTTACATTCTTTCCGTAAACGTAGTGGTGCAGCTTCTCTAGCGACCAACAGGCTGCTAGAAGTTCGCGTTCAATGTTACTGTATCTCCTTTCTGCATCACTAAGTGAGCGACTTGCGTAACAAACTGGTTTTCCATCCTGTAACAGAACGCATCCCAATCCTTTCAGACTTACATCTGACTGAATCACATTTTCTTTGTCTACGTCGTAGAACGCCAATACTGGTGCCTTGCTTATGATGTCTTTAATCTGTTCGAAGAATTGTTGTTGTTCTGGCTGCCACTGATATGGTACACCTTGCTTGTTCAGGTTACGGATTGGCTCGCTTGCCTGTGCCWATATGGGAGAGAATCGATTCAGGTAGTTGACCATCCCAAGGAATGACTGTAGTTCCTTGACATCATTAGGAGGTTGCATGTCTACGATTGATCGAACCTTGTTTTCGTCAGGCTTGAGACCTTCTGGTGTCCACTTAAGTCCAAAGAAGGACGCTTCGGATACTTTGAATTGAAACTTGTCGGGGTTGAACCGGACATTGTTCTTACGCGCTGTCTCAAGCACATTTAGTAGATGATCATCGTGGTCTTTTTCACTTGTTCCGAAAGTGAAAGTGTCGTCTGCAATGCCAGTTACTCCCTCCAAGGGTCCGAAGATCGCATCCATTTTCTCCTGGAACACATCTCCGCTGCAGGTTAGGCCAAAGGGAAGGCGTGTCCATCGGTACTTTCCCCATGGTGTGTTGAACGTGCAGAGCCGACTGCTCTCGTCGTCTAATTTCACCTGCCAGTAACCGCTCCTAGCATCGAGAATGCTGAAGTGTGTTGCCCCAGCAACCTTAGGTATGACATCATCAACAGATCTGACGTAGTGTCTGTTGCATCTCACCGCCTTGTTCAAATCACGTGGATCCAGGCACACTCGTATGGAGCCATTTGACTTTTTAGTTACAACAACAGAACTTATCCATGGGGAGTATTCGTCTTTTACTTCCTTCAGGATTC